AAGCAGCATCATAGGAGCAGGAAGGCTAACGTTTCGGGCCGAGACCCTTCATCAGAAAATCTGATGAAGGGTTTAGGCCCGAAACGTCAGCCTTCCTGCTCCTATGATGCTGCTTGGCCTGCTGTGTTCATCTAGCTCTACACCTTGTTATCTTAGATTTTCCAGCATCTGCAGTTCCTACTATCTCAAACTTGAACAACCTGTTCAACTGTTCTGTTGAAGCTATGGGATGCCGACATCTTTATTAACCTTAAAGCAAAATATGCATTTCCAGAGATGTGATTACATCTATCATCACTCTTTTTTTTCCAAAATTGACAATAACGAGACTAGAGTCACACCCTGACACTTCCTGTGGTCCTGGTGTGCTGTTGTTCTCGAAAATTGAATACTACTGTTATTCACTGGCTGGAGCTTCTAGTAGCAGTCAGTTACCAGGTTAGTGACACTATGACATAATATAATGTTGCAACTTGACATAGTTGTCAAGTGCTGCCTAACTGTACTAGCAAGGTTTTAAATTGTTTCCTTTAATTTTAATACAGTATATGTAAACCGATGGCCTAATTATCCCAACTGACTAGTATGGTCAACTGAAACAAAACACATACCTTGTGCATGCTTTTACGAATTTTCTCCTCCAGCTCTTAAACTGCTTGATGTTACTCACTGCTTAGAAGTCAATTCTTGGCAACACATCTGATTAGTGACTCCAGAAGTAGATGTTGCAATGTAGCAGGTCTACATCTCTCAACTATGATACCTTTACATAGATTTTAATTTAAATGTAGTTCTAATTCTAAATATTTTTAAACTTTTGTCCATTAAAGTTCCTCCTGAGGTGATTTGTGCTTTTTTTCTCCTTGCTAAACATAACCACTGTGTGGTGTTCATTATTATAGTTAATCTAGCTGTGTTTTGTAATTACTAGTGGTAGAAATTCCTCCTTGACTCAGTCCTAAATTGGTGACTTTGTCTGAAACTGTACTGTCTGGCTCTACTTGCCCATGGGGGGGGAACTCCCTCCTGGCATTTACCCTGTCAAGCCCCTTAAGAATCCAATATGTCTCCACTAGATCACCTCTCATTCTTCTAAATTCCAGTGATTGGAGTTCCAACCTGTTTTAACCTTCACTCATAATACAGTTCCTCAGCACCAGTATTCATCCTACTGAACCTTCTCTAAACTATCTGTACTGATATAGATTCCATTAGCCTTAGTGATTACCTGCTGCAACTATGTGCTGGCTTTGTTTCATGCACAAATACCCTCAAGTCCCTTTTTGTTGTGGCTTTCTGCAATTTTTGCCATTTGAATGCTCTTAAGACCATGAGAAATAGGAGCAGCAGTAGGCCTCTTGAACCTGTTCTGCATTTTCATGGAATCATGTCTGATCTGATATTGCTGGTCCACTTTCCTGCCCTTCCCCAAAGGACTTGATTACCCTACTCTTCATGAATCTATCTCTGCCAAAATATATGAAAGGACTCTGGCAAGAGTTCCAAAGAACAACCCTCTTTTACTGCCTCCAATGAAACATGGGGACCAAAGCTGCTCTCAGTACTGTAGATGTGGTCTCACCAGCACATTGTACAGTTGCAGTAAGACTTCCCTACGTTGTACTCTGATCTCCTTGAATTAGGGGCCAACATTTCCACTGGCCTTTCTGCAGCTCTGCTAGCTTTGTTTCATGTGCAAGTGCCCACCAGTACTTTGCAGCTTTCTGCAGTTTTTCTCCATTTAAATAATACTGTTCTTTAATTTTCCCTTCCAAAGTAAACAGCACCACATTTTCCCCACATTATACTCCATTTGTCAACTTCTTGCCCACTCGCTCAACCTATAAATCTCTCAACTGTTTGTTTTCCCCCTCAGTCTGCATGTCCACTATTTTGTCATCTGCACATTATTTGCTTCCTTCCTCAGATCATTAATATGTTACAAAGTTATGGTCCCAGCACTGATTCCCTGTGCAACCTCCCTAGTTACAGCTGGGTTGTAGAGGTGGGAGGGAGGGGGTAGCCCTTAACCCCTCAACCCCTCTTGCTGTCTCCTGCCCATGAGCCAGTTCTCTATTGATGCCAAAATACTACCTCTGACATTATGGCTCTTATGACAACCTTTTGTGAAGTACTTTGTCAAATACTTCAGTGTACAAATACAACACACCTACTGGCTCCTCTCTGTCCACTGTCATTGAGACTTCATTGAAATACTCTAATAAATTATTCAGACCTGTCTTTTTTTCTGTCATGAAGCCACACTGACTTTGTTTGGTGAGATTCACTTTCCAAATGTGTTGCTATTACTTAAGTTAATCAGCTTTTTGCCCCTTTTTCTTTCATAAATGGGGGTGTCACATTGACAGTTTTCCAATCCTGCAGTGCTTCTCCCAGAATAAAGGATTTTAGGAAATTACAGCCAGTGCATCCACAGTCTGTTAATTTAGGGTCCTCTGATGCAAGACATCAGGGCCAAGGGACTTGTCTGCCGTTAGCCCTATAGTTTGTCTATCTTGTGATGGTTCTTAATTCCTGCCCTGTATTCTTTAGTTGTGTTAATGGGATATTCAGAGCTCTTAACCATAAAGATCAATGCAAAATCTGTTTTAACTGTATTTCCTTGTTTCCCATAATAGAATAGAATCCCCATAGCTTGGAAACAGACCATTTGGCCCCTACCAACTCTCTGAAGGGCATCCCACCAGACCCATCCCCCTACCTTATCCATGTAACCCTGCATTTCCTGTAGCTAATGCACCTAACCTATACATCCTTGACCACTCTGGGTAATTTAGCATGGCCAATCCACCTAATTTGCACATCTTTGGACTATCTCCCCAGATTATTTTTGAAGTTCTGTTTGTTTTGACCCCTGTATTCCTTTTTAATATATTTAAAGCAGCTGTTGTCAGTTTTTATATTCCTCACTAATTTGTCCTCCAAGAGTTTCTTTTGTGTCTTTAGTCCTCCTTGGGATAAATTTAGAATCCAAGTCTTGGGGACTATCACTGACTTTAGCCTCCTTTTTTTCGAAGTGTTTTTTTAACCTCATAATCTTCCTTAACTTTCTTGGTTAGTTATGGTTTGCTTATCTCTCCCTTTAGAATATTACCTTTACATAATAACTTAAATAAGTTAAATATACTAATGAGATCTTCTGCAGTGCAAGGCTTGCTTCAGTTTAATTTGAATTATAAATGTGTCAAGTTGGAAAGTGTCTCAACTGTATAATTTTACATACTTTGAAAAGTTGTAAATCTCGGATGAAGTAGTTTTTGGGACTTGAGTCTGACTTCACTTAAATGGTGAAACAACTTCTTGGAATTCTGAGCCTAGTTTATACAAGGACTTAACTAGATTTGATATGTCCATTTTTTTAATAAGTAAAGCATGCAAAGCTTTTTTGGTTTAGGGGAGAACTAAGGAAGTGAAGTAGTAGGCTGCCCCTATTAATGTGGCAGTAAAAGAATTAATTCTTGTTGCATATTGAAATGACTGCTGTGATAATACTGCATTCAACAAATCTAGAAAAATGTTTGCTTTAATATTCAATTTTTCCAATGAGGAACCTGTTATTTATTACTGTTTCTAAAATGTTGCATTGAGCAGAGTTCAGTGAATTTTGCTTTCTAATTTTTCAGTCATCCAGGTTACTTTGGAAAAGTTGGCATGAGACATTATCATCTCAAAAAGAATCAGTTGTTCTGTCCAACTATAAATCTGGATAAGCTGTGGACACTGGTCAGCGAACAGACCCGATTAAACTATGCCAAGAAACCTGAAGGACCAGCACCTATCATTGATGTTGTACATGCTGTGAGTATTATAAAAAGTGGTTTTGAGGGCAGCCTGCAAATAGGATATGCTGATAGGGAGACAACAAATCTTACTGATTTGAAGTAGGTAGTGTGCAACCAAACAAGAATTGATGATAAATTTATTTAGCAGTCTACTGATATGTAGTTGATTTAGACACTGAAGGGTAATATAGGCTAAAGTTATTAAATATGATCTGGTTTAATAAATTAGACCCAATTAAACTGACAATAGCTAAGGCAGATAGTCAGTGTTTTGACTTAGTTTTGTGCATAGATACTAAGCATATTACTCAATGTGTCTGTCTGAGGCTGTACAACAGACTTGATTCCTTTTAATCAATTAATGACATGTTCACTGGCTCAAATTCCATGTGCTTGATTTCACACAGCATTTGATAAAAAGGCTATTATGGAAGTAGAATGCTCACGCATCCAAAGTGTCACATACATAGTCCGATCAGCTGATTTATTCCAAGAGCACAACTTTGTTTCAATAGGAATCAGTAGTTTGTACAGCTGAGGAAGAGAAAGTTTGGATTTAAACAGTCTAGATATTTTTAAAAAATCAATTGGGTACAGCTGCCAAGGGCAGAAGTGATAGAAGCCTTGTGTGCACAAGCACACGGGAGTATTACTCAAAGGAAATTTTAGCTCTTTAAATAAGGTACTTAGCTAATGGAAGTGTGAAAATAGTTTACTGCTCAATTCAGGTATCGAAACTAGAGTCACATCCCTACACTTATTATTGTCTTGATGTGCTACAGTTTTCGAAGAGCAACTACTGATTTTATTCATTGATTGAGCTTTATAGTTCAGTCAGTCACACAATTAGTAACATTGCTGGTGATTGTATTGCAAGCATCATTGTTTTAAAATTGTTCTAGAACTTGCATCTCATTAGTCTCTGGGATGCCATTTCAGGTTTGAACAATGAAAACTTCGCCCTAAATTTGCTATCTCATTCTGAGCTCCAGTTCCTTTGTTTTCCGTGTTACAACTTTGTCTATTTTGCAAACTTATCTTCTGCATCTTAACTGATCTCCTCATGCCTCCTTTTCATTTCCAAGTTTTTTCAACATAACATGACCTTTAAGTTGTTGTTCATTTTCCAAGTCTGACCTGAGGAATGCAGATTTTCACCTTTTTTGGTTTATTTTGCCTGTTCTTCAGTATATTGGATTTGCTGTTCTGTTGGTTTGACATGCATTGTCATAAAGAGATCACTTATCTGTAGATCTGAGGTGCCTGCTATTTCAGTTAATGTCTAGGAGATTAATTTGCACTGTATTTTTGAATACAAGTTCTATACATGGATGACTATGGACAATCTATTGCTGATGATCAAATTCTAGTGGTGCCTGTGCAACACCCTGCAAATCCAGTGGCAGGATAGGAGCTTCAATGTGTCCCCCTTTTTTCTTTGCAGCACTGCTTGATGGCAGCTGTAATGTGTTGACCATACTGCTGTCAGATTTTCAAAACATGCCAAGACAGAGGTCAGCAAGGAGGACAGGAATCTCTTCAAGCATGTTTTCATGCCTCTATTAGGTTGGATTTCTGGTTTCCCAAAATCTAGTTATCGAGAAAATGAATTGGTTACCAACAGAGCTTTAATCTAGGATTATATCCTCCAGAATTGCCAGATGTTAATGTAGTTGACTTAGTTGAACTTCTATCCAACTTTTCCCATGGGTGTTAACAAGGTAGATGTATATTGAATCCAGTTAATTGATCTCATCAATTGAGATTGAAAACTAATAGATTATCAGTTTCTGAATTTTTAAAATTTAAATTTCTCAAAATCATGAGTAGAGATCAATTACACTAAATCTGGAGCAATTTTGGTTAGTTCCCTTTTTATCCTGCAATGGTCAAGCGATTCATATCCTACTATTTGCTTTTTGGTGTTTGAGGTTTTTTTGGAGTAGAAAATGTTTACTTGAATCATTCTTCCTTTCCCTTCCCTTTTTTAGGGTTACTATAAAGTTCTAGGCAAAGGCAGGCTGCCTAAGCAACCAGTCATTGTCAAGGCAAAGTTTTTCAGCCGGAAAGCTGAAGAGAAAATCAAAGAAGTTGGTGGAGCCTGTGTATTAATGGCATAAGTTTTATAATTGGATGTACTAATAAAATACTGTCACTTTTAACTGTGTGCTGTTTCTTGTTTTGTAAATAAAATGCATGTTCAAAGTCCATCAAATGGAGTTGGCCTATTCCTGTTGGGGCTGACACCCACCATTCAGAAGTCTTGTGTTTGGTGACTGGTCACTTGAAACTACTGGTGAAATGAATATGTAGAGTAATCAGGATAAAGTGATGTTCTGGAAATGGATGGCTTTATTACTTTCACCATTGAACTATGAATGAGAAAAACCATTTGGATTTAAAAACACATCAGGAAGTTGTGAACTGGATAGACATGTCAGCTAACTTTTTTTCTACAAAATTCTCTTGTCAAAAAGGGCAAGGTAATTCAAGCTAAGGGAAAGCAGTAGTCTTGCACCAATTATAGCTTACTTTTGGGATGTGGGCACTGGTAATGTCATTATTGCCTATCTCTGATCTATTGACCACCAAAGGTTAAATTACTTTCTAATGCAAGTAATCGATTTCCTAGCTTATTCCTAGTAATTCAGAATCAAATCTGGAATCCTACTTTCCATAGACCAAGTAAAGGTGTCACATCTCCTTGGAGACATTTAGTGAATTGATTTTGTTTTAATAATCCATTTATATTTGCTATTAGTAGCTTTTTATTCCAGATACTCAAGTGAACTAAATGCTACCACTTTCCCATAGTAGGTCTCTTGGATTACTAGCCTAGTAATATAACAGCAGAGTATCGTAGGAGTAGGAAGGCTGACGTTTCGGGCCTAGACCCTTCATCAGAAATTTTCTGAAGGGTCTAGGCCCGAAACATCAGCCTTCCTACTCCTACGATGCTGCTTGGCCTGCTGTTCATCCAGCTCTGCACCTTGTCTCAGATTCTCCAGCATCTGCAGTTCTTACTATCTCTAACAGCAGAGTATGGCAGGATAAGTTGAGAATACCACTTTTTTTAAAAACTTTAATTTTGCATACAAATACAAGCAAGTTATTCCACAGTGGCTTTGCAAATAAGCAGCATAATTTCAAAAAGATGTCAAGGTGTTTGAATGTAGACCAGATTAATTTGAATAACATTGGAATTTGACACTGCAGATATGTAATGTGCCATGACTTTTTAATTTAAAGAAAACTGGCTTAAATAACATGGTATTTTAAATGTCTGCTAGAAATTGCACAGCTGAATTTTCTTTCACCAGCCAAAGTATAGGTATACTAGTATGTTAACTTGATACTAACACAAGACCCTATTTGACATTTAGGAGATTGGTGTGGCTTTTTTTTTTTTGGAAGCTGTGAAAATCCAAACCTGACACAGGCAACACACTCCCAAAGGGAATTCCAGCATAAAAATTTTGTTAAACAGTTCATTAAAGCTGTGATTTTAAAATCAAACAAGATGGCTGCTATTAACTTAACTTTTGATAGATTGTTCTAAAATCAGAATGGCTCAGGAATTTGAGAAGCAACGTGTGTTCAGCTCAAGGTAATTGAATTTTGAACTTTTAAGAAGTGAATAGTTTTGTTGGCACCTGGCCTGCAAAGTAATGCAACTTAATTTACAAGTCTCAGGCTGGTGTGGTTAGACCAGCACAGTGGTTGCTAAGCTTGTACTGGTAGCTTGTTAGATATTGAATTGGTCAATTAAGGGAAGACCAGTACTAACCAGGCAACTGCAATGTTGATAGAAAAGAGAACAGGTTCTGACTGCGTTTGGAAGGAGACAGTGTAACAGAAGTTTTCAGAGTCTCTTACCCTTTGTAGTTTCTGTCTGGTTAGCAAGTTGTTGAATGGTCTGAGGAAAGAATCCTAGTCTAAGAAATAAGTAAACATTTTTGGAAGTCTACTCAAAACTGCATTAACTGGTGACTTTGGAATTTAAGCAAGATATGTAGTTTTACTTGCCTGTGAACAACCCGTTGCCCAAGGATTTCATAAGGACCTGCTACCTTATCCTTAACTGTGAGAATGATAATTATGACAAAGGAAGATTGGGCTTTCAATCCTAGATATTAATCAGATTATGTTGTTTCTGCATTCTGCTAAATTTACATTATTAAAATAAATTGTTAATTAGTTTGATATAACTTCGAGTCCAAGGTCTATTATTTGTGAAGTTTGATGTAATGGTCACAATGCTTTAATTTCACTTGGGAATCTGGTGATGGTGAGGCTGGTTTGGTTTAGCTTGCTACACTGTACAAGCAGACACCATATTTTCAACAATAGAAGTCATTACTTTTGCAAGCACTGGATCAGATTTCATTGCAACAAGAAGGATCTCTAGCAATGAAACCCAACAGTATAACACATTAACTTGTGCGACTAACTTTTACCCTGCTTAAACAAAGTGTAAGTACCTGTCTATTTTTATAGCATAATAGAGATGTATAGCACGGAAACCGACCCTTTGGTCTAACTCGTCCATGCAGACCACATAATCCTAAATAAATGTTGTCCCATTTGGACCATTATCTCTCAACTCTTCCTATTCGTATCCACATCCAGATACCTTTTAAAATGTTGTAATTGCACCAGCCTCCACCACGTCCTCTGGCAGCTCATTCTACATATGCACTACCATCTGTGAAAAAGGTGTCCCTTAGGTCCCTTTTCGATCTTTCCTCTCTTAAATGTATGCCCTCTAGTTTTGGATGCCCCCACCCCAGGGAAAAGGCCTTGTCTATTTACCCTTTCCATGCCCCTCATGATTTAATAAATCTCTAAAAGGTCACCCCCTCAGTCTCTGATGCTCTAGGGAGCCCTGGTTATTCAGCCTCTCTCTATAGGTCAAAGCCTACATCCCTGGCAACATCCTTGTAAGGCTTTTCTGAACCATTTCAAGTTTCGCAATATCCTTCCTATGGCAGGGAGACCAGAATTATACACATTATTCCAAAAGCAGCCTAACCAATGTCTTGTACAGCCGCAACACAACATCCACTCCTATACTGAATGCACTGGCCAATAAAGGCATTTTAACTTGAATCATACAAATTAAAAAGAGGATCTATTAATTCACAGTTTACTGATTATGCTGTGGTCATACCCACTCGTCATGACAAGATATTGAAGAAGCAAAAGTTATCCTCTTTAAAACAAAAGATTAAAAGGAAATCTGATGCAGGTTTTCAAAATCATGAATACTTTTTACATTGTAAAATAGGAAAAGGTGCAGTTGTACTGTCTCTACCTCTGGACTAGGAGGCCCAGATTCAAATCCTACCTGCTCCAGAGGTGTGTCATCATCTCCTTGAATAATCAGAAAATATCAACAATGAAAAGGAAGAAATTTACATATGACAGAAGAAGCAATAACCAGACTTAAGTTGAGTGGTGTGACCCTTTGATCTTTTACTTAAAAATTCAGTGAGAGAGGTAGCATCAGACACAAACACCTGGAGGAGGAGTAAAGCTCTGAAAGTTTGTGTTTTCAAGTAAACCTGCTGGACTATAACCTGGTGTCATGTGATTTCTGTTCTTGAACCCAGTTCAATCCTTATAGTGCAGGTGCACCCATAGCGCTTTTAGAAAGAGGGTTTCAGATTTTTGTACCAGTGATAGTGAAGGACCGATGATATAGTTGCAAGACAGGATGTTGTGTGTCTTGGAGGGGAATATGCAAGTGGTGGTGATCCCATCTATCTAGTGCATTTATCTAGGTGGTAGAGGTCATGAGTTTGTAAGGTGCTGTAATAAGGGAATGGGTAGGCGAAGCAGTTTTAATGACAACTTTCAAAACAGCATTGAATGAATATTTGAAGGATAAATAACATTAAAAGGTTATGGGAAAATAGGACAGGCGCCCTTATTTGATAATTCTACTAAAAGGAAGCTCAGGCACAACAGGTGAAATGGTTCCTTTTCTGTATTTTAGGAGACTCGTGTTGGGATCCTTAATAGGAAAATAAACTAATGAATTGAGTTCCATCTTTACTATTTTTCTTGACCTAAGAGCAAAGGAAGATGTTAATTCACCAATTTTATACACAATTATCAAAGCTGTGGTTTAAAGTCATGCATTGCTTTGATGGTGCTTTTTTGTCAGTTGTTCAGACAAGACAGCCTATATGGTATGTGGGACATTAAAATAGTTTATACACAGAGCACAAAGATTCCGCAATTAGAAAGTTAGGGTTATGCAACCATGCCATTTGTTGTGCAGAAACAACTTATACCTCCAGATGCGGGCACAGAGCCTCTGTTTAAGGGAATGGCCAGTGACATTCATCTCAAGTGACTACCTGCCAAAAAACAAAAAAGCTGTGACAATGGCCCTTCCCCTGGAACTGTGTTCTAAAGAAATGCAAACTTTCTAGCCCACTGTCTCCAAGTGCTTTCTAAAAGCTGAACTTCTGCTATCTGTTACATTCCTTCATGTTCTCCTCAGAGTCAACCTTACCCTTTTCAAAGTGATCTGAGATGTACAATGCAAAGAGATTATTAAATTGGAGAGGGTTCAGAAAAGATTTACTAGGATGTTGGTGCGAATGGAGGGTTTGAGTTATAAAAATAGGCTGGGACATTTTTCACTGGAGAGTAGGAGGTAGAGGGGTGACCTTATTGAGGTTTATAAAATCATTAGGGGCATAGATAAGGTGAATAGCAAGTCTTTTCCCTAAGGTGGGGGAGTTCAAAACTACTGGGCATTTTTAAGGTGAGAGGAGAAAGTTTTAAAAAAGGATTTGAGGGGCAATTGGTTCGTGTGTGGAACGAACTGCCAGAGGTGGTCGTGGATGCAGGTATAGTTACAACATTTAAAAGACATTTGAATAAGTACATGAACAGAAAAGGTTTGGCGGGATATGGGCCAAATGCAGGCAAGTGGGAACATGGTCAGCATGGACGAGTTGGCCTGCAGGGTCCGTTTGTATGCTGTACGACAGTTGCTATCCCCAATGAATAACCGTCAGGTCCCTTTCTGGCCACTAGGTGGAGCAATCCACCATCGAGAGAAGCTTGTTTTAAATGAACTGAGAAATCTGAAATGAAACCCGAAAATATTGAAAATGCACAGATTACCAGCATCTTCTTGTACGTT